CATGATGGCTCATGCCTGTAATCTCAGCACTTTGGGAGGCCGAGGTAGACGGGTCACTTGAGGTCAGGAGTTCGAGACCAGCCTGGCCAACATGGTGAAACCCTGTCTCTAGTAAAAATACAAAAATTAGCCAGGTGTGGTGGCAGGTGCCTATAATCCTAGTTACTTGGGAGGCTGACGCCTGAACCAGGAGGCGGAGGTTGCAGTGAGCCGAGATTGCGCCACTGCACTGCAGCCTGGGTGACAGAGTGAGACTCTATCTTTAAAAAAAAAAAAAAAAAGTCCAAATGCACACCAAAATTGCTTGGTCACATCTGAACTAACAGTTAGCTTGGTCCTTCCTATCTAGCAATGCATGGTAAACTAAGATGCTGCTTTTATATACTTATTTATCCATAAGTTAAACCCGTCTATTCTTACCCTTGCCTTCCATTAAAACATACATTTCTTGCCTTAAAAATAATAAAACAACAAGAAAAGGCAAAACCAAACCAAATACCTTCTTAGTTCTTTTGCCGCTAGCCACAGTTAAAAGCAACACCTTGTTTTAGTTAAATTTACTTTAGAGTTCTTCTCATTAAGAACTTCAAGTTCTTGCCAGTAAGAATTTTCCTAAAGTTGTATTTTCCCTGGCACCTGTGACATTCCACATTTCATCTATGCTTGCTTTAGGTTTTCTTTTTTCTTTTCTTTTCTTCTTTTTTTTTGGAGACAGAGTCTCACTCTGTTGGCCAGGCTGGAGTGCAGTGGCACGATCTCGGCTCACTGCAACCTCTGCCTCCCGGGCTCAAGCAATTCTCCTGCCTCAGCCCCGCGAGTAGCTGGGACTACAGGTGTGTGCCACCATGCCCAGCTAATTTTCTGTATTTTTAGTAGAGACAAGGTTTCACCGTATGAGCCAGGATGGTCTCGATCTTCTGACCTCATGATCCACCGGCCTCAGCCACCCAAAATGTTGGGATTACAGGCGTGAGCCACCACACCCGGCCAAAAAAATTTTTTATAGAGATGGGGTCTCACTATTTTGCCCAGGCTGGTCTCAAACTCCCAGGCTCAAGTAATCCTTCTGCCCTGGCCTCTCAAAGAGCTGGGATTACAGGCATAAGCCACTGCACCTGACCCTTCTCTTACGTATTTTACAGGTAGGTTTTGAAGATGAATGAAGAAGAAATGTCAAAGTGCTTTAATGATGTCAAAAGATCCTTAGAAATACAAAGTATCCGTTATTAGGTGCAGGTATACTGAGTTTTAGATAATCAAATTTGAACGAACTCCCCTTAGTGAAAACAGTGATAAGAAAATGGTAATATTTTAAGATTATTTCATATTTAAGTTTTTCTCACAAACTTTAAATTGGTCAGAACTTGTGAAATTACCTGAAGTATCAATAGATATAGATTTTACTTTTAATTTACACAGTTCATAAATTATAGGAACATAAAAGCCTTCAAGCTAGTAAACTGCCCTTTCTTAGAAATAATAACAAACTCTAGCTAGTTTGTATTTTATTTGCAACATTAACTCAATTATGTAAGAATCATTTCAGCTCATAAAGTATTTTGTAAAATTATGTCATACCAGGACAGCTAGAAACTGGTGTTCCCATATTAATAAGACAAAGCGCACATCGAGGAAGGGGTTTTCGACAGCCAGGACAACTTGTGACTTTAGATTTTGTTGGTGAGCCACTCACACCATACTGACTAAAACCTCTGCCCTGATGAGGCACAGTTGAACAGCTGTAGGAGATTGACTTGCCACAGAAATTGCAACTCACAAAAACCTACAAAACAAATGAAAGAAAAAATAAATGTAATGCAAACCATATGGAATGCTAAATAACTTAGTTTGCTCCTAACAAATTATTTTTAAATACTTCTAAAAAACTTTATTTTATATTTCAAAATTTATCTGCTAAGGTTGGCTAGCTCTCATTTAAAATTTGTACTTAGCAATTACATTTTTTGGATACTTCCTTTTTAATTATATTCTTACTAATATCACTGAAATTGGTGGAAGAACTCAAACTTTGGACTCCAACATTTTAGAAATAACAGTGACTTCAGAATTCACACTGGGACATTACAACATATTCCAGTATGACTTCTAAACCACAGTTCAGTGATGTAATGTTCTGAACAAAATTTTCTTATAAAGAAAACGCTCTTCCTAAGACAAAAAGGAGTTAACAATCTTATAATGGTAAATAGTTAAATTTTTAGAATAATAGCAATAGAAACTGTTCGTTTTGTTTTACAGTAAATTGCTAGGCTCTTAATCACTTATCATATAGATTAGTAACATGTACTGCCATGTAATGCTATTTTATCAACACTCTGGTTTTAATATAAACACTTTCTCAAGTTCCTAAAATAAGAAAATAGCACCATCCAGTGCCCATATTGAGGATAACATATTTGATATCTGAAGTAAGACACAGTGATTTAATGTGATATACCTTATGTGACAATAATCTTTTATTAAACTAATGCTAAAAAAAATTTCCATGTGTAATTAAACATACAGATATAGGTAATACTGCTAAAGTCTAGAAAAACCCAAATCCTGCCTTACTGCACATAAATAATGCCAAAAAACTTAATACACAAGTGGAATTTATAAGATAATATAATAGTTTAGAATCTGAAAGGGCTGGAAATATACTGGAAAATTCAGGCCTGCTGTGGTTTGTTCTATTTCAGACTAAAGCTCAAGCCACTGAGATGACTGTTAGCAAGAAGCAGAACCAAAGGATAGGAAGATCAAGGACAAAGCTCAGTCTAGAAAAGACAAAGACATCAATGGGAACTCAATATAAGCAAAATAAGGAGCTAATAATAATTTATTAAATTGAACATCAACATGTTACAATTTGATTTTCTCCAAAACAATGTACTTACCTGTGCTAAAGGCTTGGAACTGGGATCCAGCTTACTCCTGTGAATATCAAATTCAGCTCGTTTATGCCAAAATCTCCAGGCATCTAATAGATTTCTATAATTCTCAATCCAGTACTGAACCCTTTCATCCTTAAGAACATCTAAAGGTGAACCCTAAAATGAAAACATGAATTACTTCAATTATTTAAAATCTCCTGGCTAGGCCAGAGACTTCTGGGTAGCATATAAGTATGAGTAACAGAAAAAATAGGCTTTTTTTTTTTTTTTTTTTTTTTTTGCCAAAAGCTGGCTCCTAATGAGAATAAAGACAAAGTTTATGGAAGCTCCATTAATTTATCTCAAGCTGGGTTCCACTAATGACATAAATATGTACTTTATATATCATACCTGGCCAGGGAAGTGTAATTCTCCACCTTTTAGTTAAGTTTAAGAAAACAGAACTTCGTGGTTGAATGTTGTAAACAGTGATATGAATACCCTTTGTCCCAGCAATATTAAAAACCTCTGGGGGGTTTTCACAACTCTGTTTAACTCATCAATAACAAATCGTAATACAAGGCTGGTCATGATGGCTCATGCCTGTAATCTCAGCACTTTGGGAGGCCGAGTAGACGGGTCACTTGAAGGTCAGCGAGTCTCGAGACCAGCCTGGCCAACATGGTGAACCCTGTCTCTAGTAAAAAAAAAATACAAAAATTAGCCAGGTGCTGGTGGCAGGTCCTATAAATCTAGTACTTGGAGGCTGACGCCTGACCAGGAGGCGGCAGGCTCTGCAGTGAGCGAGATTGCGGCACTGCACTTGCAGCCTTGGGTGACAGAGTGAGAACTCTATCTTTTAAAAAAAAAAAAAAAAAAAGTCCAAATCGCACACCCAAACACTTGCTTGGTCACCATCTGAACTAACAAGTGTAGCTTGGTCCCTCCTATCTAGCAATGCATGGTAAACTAAGATGATGCCTTTCATTATACTTTATTTATCCATAAGTTAAACCCGTCTATTCTTCACCCTTCCGCCTTCCATTAAAACAACATTTCTTGCCTTAAACAATAATAAAACACAAGAAAAGCCAAAACCAAACTCCTCCCCCCCCATTAAGAACTTCAAGTCTTGCCAGTAAGAATTTTCCCTAAAGGCTTGTTTTTCCCCTCCACCCTCTTCTTTCTTTTTCTCCTTTTCGCGCGCCCTCTCGCTCTCCCCCTCGGGCTCAAGCAATTCTCCTGCTCAGCCGAGTAGCTGGCGATTACAGGGGTGTGCCACGATCCGGCTAAATTTTTTGTACGTTTAGTAACGAGATCGCGGGTTTCACCATGTTGAGCACAGGCTGGTCCTTGAAACTCCTGACCTCAGGTAATCTGCTCCGCCTTGGCCTCCCAAAGTCTGGGATTACATGGCGTGAGCCCACCCGTCGCCCGGCCGCGTTTAGGTTTTTTTAGAAGACTTTCAGCCCCTGTGTCCGACAGGATATCTTTCCTCTAACTTTTACATAAGGCAGAAAGGACGAGAAAGTCTCTACTTCCAAATTAATGCTTTGGCCATCCAAATCTCGAAAGGTCGAGTTTCTCCAGTCCTACTCGGGCCCGCCCGCCCTAGAAATCAATCAGAGAGAACCTGGCAATATCTTACTTATTAAAAAAAACAAAAGCAACCAAATATCATAAGCAGGGTGGCTAATATAATCTTTGACATCCAATCAACAACTGAAGCAACCTATTTTCATTGCTATTAAATCAGTTGTTAATTTACCAGATAAAGTTAGCTAAACAGAACTAAGGTGAAACAACACTCAGCTTAACATTCATGTTCTAAAAAAAAGTAAAGAGGGTCTACTTTAGCCCTAATTACTGACCGACTAGCGGCACTAAGTACCAAGAGTAGCAATATAATATGCTCGATTTAAAAAGAAAACTTCACACGCAAAATAATAAGATGTTTTCATACTCTCATTCCTTCCTTAATGCAGGAGAGATAAACTAAAGAAAGAATTGGTCATACATATAACAGTAAGTCCTTCTCTACATCCTCTCCCAGTAACTAAGAACAT